TATTATTTCCCAGAGGATTGCAATGTGGCTCCAAGTGCACTGGTATTTTAAATATTTTGTTGGCTCAATAAATTGTCTGTGCACCTTTTACAGTCTTTGACATCTGTGTGTCTTACATGCCTCAGGATGCTAAAAGGACAAACAAAACATACTTTATGTTTATTTGCGGGATTAGTAGGCTCTCACCAGGGAGTTTTCCAGATTGCCATAATGTTCCATTTTCATTCCCATATGCTACCTTTTTCCCCCCTGTGTCCAAACAACTTCAATAACATCCCCGTGATGTCCTGGTTTTTCCTGGTTTTTCCCTTAAACTTGTTCTTTCCCAAACTAGTTTTTCCCATACTTTTTTTCCCCCATTGTAGAATGAATTCTTGCTCGAAATGTGAACAGTTCTTTCTGCCTCGTGGATTACTGCCCAAGCCTGCCCAGAAAGGGTGGGTTTGGGTGGTAATTTTCCCCCCAGCCTTTCCGTGTTGGAGGCTGCCTCCACTGAGGTCGAATCTGCATTTGCATTTTTAAATCAGTTTTGTGCTGCTGTGACGCCGTCTTTAAACAAAATTTCAGTCCCATTCAGACACCAGCAGACAATCATTGCCTTCCTTACCATTCCTTCATTCACACTCAAGAGTGGATTCTAGCATGTCCCTGGGCACCACTTTCAAATATATTTTGCAGTGTGTGCAGCTACCCTGAAAACATGTAACTGAAGGAAACAAGCTGTTGTGAACTGTGTACGAATGGCAGTTGGGGGGGGGGGAGCCAATGAGAGAGACTGCTTAAATGTGGAGGGGGGGGGAAGCAATCAAAAAGGGGCGAGACCTGTAAACCAGGTACAACTCTCAGGTGTGGTGTGGTGTGGTGTGGTGTGGTGGGCAGGGAATGTACTTGTAAGGGGATTTCTTGGTCCCTTGAGGCATGTGCAAAAAAGAAAAACCCAACCCCGGAAAACCAATCCACAATGTGAATGTGAGGAACCCTGATGGCGGGGGGGGGGATGAAGAAAACGTGTGTGTATTGATTGCACCGATAGCACAATCATTTGAACCGCCACAACATCAACGAAAGTCTGGAAGGTGGCTGTGATCTGGAAGATGCCCAGGTCAGAAGAAAATCATGGCAAGAATAATAGGGGGTGCATTTTAATAGGAGTAAACAGAATGCTTTTAGGAGATGGAGCTTTTCAAACAAGCTTGCTACTTTTTGAAAGCGCAGCTTTGAAGGACAGAGGAAACTTCTTGTCATTTGATTTAGTTCCATTAAATAAAAACAAGAACAAAATAATACATAATCGGTTTCAGCATCGTCTGCTGCATAGATTAAATCCTAATTGTGGAGAGTGCAAATTGCTGTTATCAAGGGTTTAATTGGAGGCTGTACATAGCAGGACTCACAGCACAAACATGATGAAAGAAAAAGAATGCCTCTGATCGCTTGCAGCATGCATTTCCCTTGCCATTAAGTAACCACAACCGTATCTGGAATTTGATAAGATCATTATCAAACAAATTTTTTGAGTCCATATACTCAGGTTTTGAAAATTAATTGGAGGAGGGGTAATCTGTCTAAACTACAGTGTTTGACTGATGGGAATGATTAAAAACCTTATTTACTAAAAAGGTGTCCACAATCAGGCCATGGATTTTTAAAAAATAATTATTTAATACACGTAGTCATAAAAACTACAAGTGGCAGATGCCATCGGAGAGGAGACATTCTCATTCTTTCTCACACAGGAGGGAATGCCTCTTCTGAAATAGTACATGATGCAAGGCATTGCGTATATAATCTGTAAAATGTCCTTTTTCTTACTAATTATATTCATATGCAAATGTGTGTAGATTTAGTTGATCAATCAATTAAAACATATAATTTATTAAGATTTCTTTAATTGGGCTACAGCCCTAATACATATAGCAATAGAGGTATGTTTCTGTGGTCCACAGTCAACTGTGCCTAACTGATATTACAATCTGTTTATCAGTGACCTTAAGAAAAATATAAAATCCTTGATAGTACATAGATAACTTCAGAATAGATTGAAAGGTAGATAATAGTATTATGAACTTGATATACAGACTTCAGAATAGATTGAAAGGTAGATAATAGTATTATGAACTTGATATACAGTGAATTTATACATCTACTATGAAAAACAATGTTGGTCACATTTAAAGAAGCTATATGAAATTTCTTGATGCCATTATCTTTCCTGAAGAGTGTCTTCCTTTTCCACTGGAATAGGAGCGGGAGTTGAAAAAACCAGCAATCACCAGTCAGGTTTTTACAAAATACTTTATGCACAGTTATCTGCTAAGAAACTCCTGTGTGTGATTGCCATGTGCTGCAGAGGACACTGGGAAGTTTTCTAAGGTACATACTTAATTCGTGCAGAATGCCGGCCAATCCTGTTGAGCCTCACAATCGCTCTGAAGGACAAACTAAATGAGATGATGGAAAGCCATGATTGGATCTGTTTGCCTCCTTGAACTCCCATTAATAGCAAACATAGGAGGGAAGGATGAAAATCAGATTGCATTTGCATGTTAGGGGAGGGTTTTTAACCCTTTCCTCATATTTTTTTCTGAGTGCAAATCCCCTCCCTATATAGTTACTATTCGTACCAAGAGAGGATATATGCGGGCACCAATAAGTTCTCCCCATCAGCGCAAACAGCAATCACAGAGGAGGCATTTGCATTGGGAAAGTGGCATTGGGGAAAAGACAGTTTCCCATTGTGGTCAGGGTTGCCAGCCTCCAGGTGTGTCCTGGAGTATTTCCACAATTACATCAGAACTCTACACAACAGAGAATAGTTCCCCTGGAGAAAATGACTGCTTCGAAGGGCAGATTGTATGGAATTATACCCCACTGAGGTCTCTCCCCAGGCTCCATACCTAAATCTCTAGGAATTTCCCAACCTGGAGTTGGCAGTCCTACTACTAATATACCAGCTAAAGCTATTCCTTGTAGAGTATGACTTGGCCATGGTGTTGCCCACTCTGGCATTGGCAATTCCTGGAGATTTGGGGTGGTGCCTAGGGAGAGTGGAATTTG